AGGCTCAGCACCCGCAGCAGCACCAGAGTCACCAGTAACCTCGACCGGGTCAACGGCGTCTACCTGGGACACACCTGAGGGGGCAGGAACCTGAGGGGGGAGGGGGTCTACCGGGGGGGGAACCGGCACAAGGAAGTCCGGGGGAGGGGGGAGGGAAGGAGTGCGGTAGGGGAAGAGACGGTAGAAGGGGACTGACTCGTCGAACGTGACGTCCTGGGAGGACAGAACACGACGAGAGGAGGGGTGGTAAAACTGCCACCCTGGGGCGTCAGTGGGGAAGCCAAGGAAGACACAGGGAGCAGCACGAGGGGACAGCTTGTCCGCAGACAAGTCGCGGACAAACGCCCGAGATCCCCAGACACGGAACACAGACGCATCGCCAACCTTCCCCGTCCACAGCAAGGCTGGGGACATCGCAGGCCGAGAGACCCGGGGGTGAAGGTTGAGCTGATGCGCCGCGTACCTCACCGCAAACGGCCACAGAAAATGGGGGGCAGCCGCATGCATCATGGACGTACGAGCGACATCCATGACCATGCCAATGCGGCGCTCAGCAATCCCATTTTGCTGTGGTGAGTCCGGAAGCGTGAAGGTCTGGCGGATCCCCCGTACACGACAGTAGTCCCGCAGAAGGCGAGAAGAGAACTCTCCGCCTCTTTCCGAGTGCAGACGCAGAACAGGAAAGTCCGAGCCGAAGCTCTTCCTGAGCTGGAGACGAGCCTCGCGGATCCAGTCGATCAGCACCTCAGTGACCGCACCCTTGCTGCGCAAGGGGAGGACTGTGGTGTAACGCGAGTAGTCGTCAACCACCGACAGGAAGTAGCGCTCGTAACCCTGCCCACGGACGGGGGCTGGGCCCCACACATCCATGTGAAGCGTCTGCAGGGGAGCCTCTGTCGGGGGGAAGTGGGAGGAGTGAGGAGTAGCCCGGAGGCGACCCTCGACACAGGGGACACAGGAAGGTCCTGGCCCGGAGGGGAGAGGAGGGAGAGACTGGGGAAGACCAGAGACAAGGACACGGGAAGCCATGCTCCGAAGACGGGGCAAGGAGGGGTGGCCAAGACGGTGGTGCCACAGGAGAGTCTCGTGAGACAGGAGGCGACAAGAACAGGGGGCAGACTCAGGACCTGACCGGGACGCAGCAGCAAGCACCTGACCCGACGCAGCCACCTGACCAAACGCAGGGACAGGAGGAGACTCAACGGTCAGGGTGTAGAGACTCGACCCCGGCCGACGCGAGAACATGGCCAGGTGTCGGCCTGTGCGTGCCTCCGTGCAGTGGGTCACCCGCTGACTCGCAGGAGTGAACTGGTGAACCCCCACATCCTGCAGGTCCGCTCCACTCACCAAGTTCGTAGAGAACGAGGGAAGGTACAGACCCGACAGGGTGCCCGAAGGGGCAGCCGGACACGGGAGGACAGTGGAGAAGTGAGACAGGACAGGACCCCCAGAGGGGTCAGCAAGGGAGACCGCAACCGGCCGGCCGAGCGGCGTAAGGGTAGTGCGGTCTCGAAAGAAGGAGCGAGAAGCTCCGGAGTCAAGTGTGAAAGTGAGGGAGGACGAGGACGACGCAGTACCTGAGAGCGCAGTCTCACCAGTACCTGAGAGCACAGACGCACTGGCACCTAGAGCAGCAGCCTCACAAGCACCTAGCGCAGCAGTACCAATGCCCGGGTCGGGCTGGAAACAACGGTAACCCTCATTCTCCTCACTATAATCCACAACATACATAGCAGCAAGGATAGCATCAAAATCAAGATCAAAGATCGCTACACCAGCCCTGAGAAGCTCATCCCAGCGAGGGATCTCACTAGCCCCAGGGAACTGCTGACGCCAAGCGTCCGTCAGGCGGCCAAAGCAGCGCTGGGTGGCGTGGGCACCCCCACACTGCTCACCCGCGCGGTCGCCGGAACGAAGAACGTAGGTGCAGGGACCAGTACCCCCACCCCTCTGACGCCCAGCGTACCACTCACGAAGCTGCTGAGGTGGAGGGATGTCCCGTGAGCGCTGCTGCTGCTGCCGCTGCGAGCGCTGGCCACCACCACCGCCGCTACGCTGCTGGGTACCACCTCGACCAGCTCCACCTCCTCCACCACCACCGCCTCCTCCGCTGCCGCCTCCACCGCCTCCACCTCCGCCGCCTCCACCACCGCCGCTGCCTCCACCACTACCGCTGGCACCACCACCACCGTCTCCGCCACTGCTTCCACCACCACCACCACCTCCACCACTAGTCCCGCCGCCACCCCCACTCCCTCCGCCGCCACCGCCGCCACCGCCACCGCCCCCTCCAGCTCCACCCGCGCCCTTGCCCCCCTTGCCCTTGCTGGAGCGACGTCTCCCACTAGGGGGAGACGCCGCGCCGACCGACTCAAGACCAAGCAGGTCGGCAGCAGCAGCAGAGGCAACAGAGGGCAGCAAGGGGGAAGGAGAGCACCCCTCAAAGATGGGGGTGCGAGGGTCACCACGAGAAGCACCTACAGCGACTATGCTCTTCTCCGCTGCGAGGAGGGCCTTCTCGAGGAGGTCGACGGTGAGGGTGGTGGGACAGACTGCGAGAAAGTGGTCCCTGACGACGCGAAGGGAGTCAGGGAGGCGCGCGACTACGTAGTAGAGAGCGATGTACATGGGGGGGGGGTTCTTAGCGCAGAACTCAGCAGGAAGGGCGGCGCGGTAGCGAGTGTCACTAGTGCGGAGGTGCGTAATGAGGTCAGCGACAGTGGAAAAGGCAGAGAGGTCAGGAAAGAGGTAGGGAAGCATGAGACGGCTCAGTGCAGCAGTGGCAGGGGAGGAGTAGCGCGCAACTACAGCGTCGTACAAGGTCTGAGCACTCTTGTACTGACTAAAGTGCGCACGCTCAGAGGTAGGGAGGTGGCGACGCACAGCAAGACGTGCAGCAGCATCGCGGGTGGCCCACTTAGAGCGGACAGCGGGATCAGCATCGGCAGCAGGAGCAGGAGAGGCGCCAGAGGTGAGGTCAAAGAGAGAAAGGTCGTCAGCCCTGTCGCACTGTAAGAACAGCTGCAGGTCGTCTAACCAGACCTCAAAATCAATGGCGCGACCCTCAACGTCAAAAGCTAGGACACTAGGGGTAGCCGTGGCGACGACAGCGACTCAGTGCAAGCAGTAGGGAAAGAGCTCGCAGTGTCAGTGGGACTGTGCTCACCAGGCAGGGCAGGTCGTGCAGCTATGCAGAAAGGCGGCTCAGCGACCGGGCGGCTCGGGTGCACAGCAGCTCGGCTCCCGGGCTGCTCGGCGGCTGGGCGGCTCGGGCGCAGGGCGGCTCGGCTCCCGGGCGGCTCGGCGGCTGGGCGGCTCGGGTGCAGGGCGGCTCGGCTCCCGGGCGGCTCGGCGGCAGGGCGGCTCGGGTCCCGGGCGGCTCGGCGTTGGGCGGCTCGGCTCCCGGGCGGTTCGGCTGCTGGGGCGGCTCGGCCGGGAGATGCAGGGGCGGGGCCGTCAGGTGCAGCAGCGGGTCGACCGGTGCAGTGGCGGGCCGGCAGGTGCAGCGGCGGGCCGGCAGGTGCAGCGGCGGGCCGGCAGGTGCAGGCGGCGGGCCGTAGGGTGCAGCGGCGGGCCGTAGGGTGCAGCGGCGGGCCGTAGGGTGCAGCGGCGGGGCCGTCAGGTGAAGCGGCGGGCCGCTGGGTGCAGCGGCAGGCCGGCAGGTGCAGCGGCGGGCCGGCAGGAGCAGCGGCGGGCCGTAGGGTGCAGCGGCGGGGCCGTCAGAGGCGGCGGGCCGTAGGGTGCAGCGGCGGGCCGTAGGGTGCAGCGGCGGGGCCGTCAGAGGCGGCGGCGGGGCCGCGGCAGTAGAGGCGGGGCCGCGTCAGGGGAGGCGGCGGGGCCGCGTCAGAGGAGGCGGCGGGGCCGCGTCAGGGGAGGCGGCGGGGCCGCGTCAGGGGAGGCGGCGGGGCCGCGTCAAGCAGGCGGCGGGGCCGCGATCAGGAGAGGTGGCGGGGCCGCGTCTGAGGGACAGCGGGGCCGCGAGGGAAAAGGCGACCCGAGGGGGTCGCTAAAAAAAAAGGCGCGCCTCGGGGCGCGCTTCGGTGGGCCCTAAAAAAACGGTCCTAAGGCAGGACCCGCTCTATACCATGTGAAGCATGGAAAACAGGAAATGAAATGACTAAGTCAGAGTTGGGTACAAATGCAACCCTAGAAAGCTGTACCCCATTTGTGCTACCCCACTATAGCCTACAAACATGCATCAGTTACAATAATCCGACATCTACCAATACTACCACTCCGGCCACAGCTGTTCCCGAAACACAAGAGTCCCAGACATGGCCTTCTGACATTGAATGGGCTTGGTTTGGACGGCCTTTATGCTTGTTTGACATTTCCTATGTCCGAAGCGCTGAACTCAACTGGCGAAAATTGCGATGGGTTGTGACTGGCGTTACTGGTGTACATTTGAGATGGCGAAGGGAAAATCATCGCGAAACCCTAGCATGTGGAAAAAGTGTCACATCTGCCTTCGGACAGTCCGAAGTTGCAAACATTCAAATCGGACAGTCCGTTTCGTTACAAACGTACAGTCCGATTCCATATAATCGGACGGTACGTCAAAATCTAAAAATGCAAAATGGTTACGCGCCCTAAGGAGAATAGACCAATCGCATTCTATACCGTCGCGTCTAATAGCTAATAGAATAGGTAGAAATAACTTAGGCGCGGGCCGGAGGGAGCTAGACCAGCACCGCAACCACATACATAGACGTGGGTGATTAATTAGCCAGGCGCATTACAGGCGCCACCTGCGAGCGTCACGCCAGCTATGCTGGCGTTTCGCGCGCGGAACTTGCGCCAGCTATGCTGGCGTTTCGCGCGCGGAGCTTGCGCCAGCTATGTTGGCATTCCGCACGCGCCAGCACAGCGCACAGCGCGCGTAGGCGCGCTCAGCAGAGCAGCGCGCGCCAGCGAAACGCGTGCAGCAAAGCGGCACGCGCCTTCTTAGCGACGCCGCCAGCACATCGAGCGCAGGTGACGCTCGCGCGCCAGCAAACAGCATGCGGTTCCAGACACGCGCGCGCCAGAGAAATGCCATGAGTTTCCCCCCTGCGCCCTCCCTTCCCCCAATTCCCCCCCTACTTCCCCTTGTTTTCCCCTTTTGCTTCCCGTGCTTTTCGCCCCTCCATCCCCTCTTTCCCCCCCCTGCGTCCCTTCCTTTCTCTCCATGCATCCACCCCTTTCCCTCCGTGTTTCCTCTCCTTTTCCCCCCGTGTTTCCCCTCCTTTTTCCCCGGCCGCTCCTTTTCTCCCTTGCTTCCCGTCCTTTCCCCCCCCTTGCATCCCCTCCTCCGTTCCCTTGCTTCCCCTCCTTTCCCCCCTCTTTTCCCCTCCTTTCCGCCCCTGCCCCTCCTTTTCCCCCTTGCTTCCCCTCCTTTCTCCTCTTGCATCCCCTCCTCCGTTCCCCCACTGCTTCCCATCCTTTCCCCCCCCTGTATTCCCTCCTTTCCCCCCATGTTTCCCCTTCTTTCCGCCCCTGCATCCCCTACTTTCTCTCCCTTGCTTCCCCTCATTTTGCACCTGCTTCCCCTCCTTTTTCCCCCTCCCTCCTTTCCCCCCCTGCATCCCCTACTTTTCCTCCCTGCTTCCCCTCTTTTCCCCCCCTGCATCCCCTCCTTATGCTCCCTTCCCTTGCTTACCCTCCCTCCCCTTACCCACAGTTTCCACTTTCCACCTCCAGTACCGTACTACCAACGCGCTGCTCGCCCCATCTCCGCCTCGCCCCATCTCCGCCTCATCCCATCTCTGCCTCACCCCATCTCCGCCTCACCCCATCTCTGCCTCATCCCATCTCTGCCTCACCCCATCTCAGAGGCGGGCAATGGAAAACGCGAAGCTGGAAGGCGAGAAGTGCGTGCGGGAAGGGGACATTGAGAGGCGGATAGGGAAGTTTGGGAGGCGGTAATAGGATCCCGTAGTGAGGCGGGATGGGAATAGGGTTGGAGAGCGAAGCTAGCGGGACCGTGTGGCCGTTTCGGTTCCGTGTCGCGAACACACCTGTGACTTGATCAGCTCGTGCGGAAACGGGCACGCCCTTCCACAGAGCTGCGCGCGGCAACTGCGATTCTGCTAGTGCGTGCCGCTACTAGGCACTCTACGGAGTCGCTCGTCGTATTCTCAGTGGTGTGAGGGACCAGCCTGATGCGGCGAAGCCAAGCCGCCTTGGGCGACGAGGGGATGCAGCTCGGCGCGAAGAAATCACCTAATATAGGCGTGGCGGGATTTCGAACCCTGGCTCTATACGGCGCCTTTCGGCGGCGTGGCGACGGCTTGAGCTATGGCATGGTCCGGCGTCCGTGCGCAGCGATGAGGCAGCAACGGGTCGAGGCTGCGAGGGGAAGGCACGGCGAAATGTCGGAGGATATGACGAGAGATAGGCTGGGATCCTACGCGAGGCTGCTCGTGTGCTTGCGTGGCGGCGGATTTCCTACCGTGGCGCGAGCTAGACGTTTACCCTAAACTCTATCGCCCTGATTAGTGCGTGCTCTGGTACGCCTAGGAGGGCTCCCAGGCGTGTGACCTAGACGTAAGCGCCACGCCATGGTCGCCGTCCGTATCTAATGCTGGAGTAGTCACGTATGCATTTGGAGTGGGCGAGTGGGCTACGCAGGAATTGGATCGAGTATACTTTTGGCAAAACTATAACTTTTGCCCCGTGGTGAGCGTTAGCAGGGGAGTGGAGGCACGTCGTCGCTTGACTTTCCCGCTGTGCAGGTTGTAGTTTGGTTACCAGGCTGTACCATTTATAAACTTTGGGCTTTGGCCCTGTCAAAAACCACGAGATTATATTCGATGAGCAGAGCGGTGCGACAGTTGTGTGTTTTACTCCGCGTTTGGGATTAAACCCCGCGCAGCCGGGAGAAACGCCACTCCGCCGCGATTCCATCACGTTCCTCGTCGCGGTCGCCATCCGTCGCTGGTTAGTTATTCGCGTCATCCACGCCATCGTGGCCTCATTCTGGCACCCTCACGTCCGCGGGTATTGTCGACGCTGGTACTCGGGGATGCCGTCTCCAGTTTGTTGGCACCCTCACGTCCGCGGGTACTGTTGGCGCCATCACCGGCGTCTCGCCCGACCAGGCGCGCTTCTTCCTCGACAGCAGCGCCAGCGCGCTCGACGACGGTATCTCCGCCCATCTCCGCCCATCTGCGCCCATCGCCGCCCATCTACCACCATGCCGGTCGCGGGTACTGTCGCCGCCGGTACTGGGGGACGACGGCAACGACACCGGCAGTCGGGGTGCGTCGCCGCCGCGGGCATATGCCGAGCATGAGGACGACCATGAGGAGTGATCTGCTGGGCGAGAAAAGAGGTGGGAAACGCCCCTCCCTGCCTTCCGCCTCGGCGTCTCGCCACCTCGTGTTCATCATGCATGATTCCCCCCTCCCCCCCCCCCCCCTCCCTTCCTCAGCGTACCCCGCTTCACCCTAGCTATTCCCGACGCTCCGTTTCTCCCCTTCCGCACTCCCCCCTTCCCCACGTCTCCCCTTCTGTTCTCATCTCCTTGCAATCCTTGTTTATCCTTGTCCCTCTGATTTTCATCCTCACATCCTCCCCTCTGTTCCCCTCCCCCACTCCCACTCCTCCCCCACTCCCACTCCTCCCCCTTCTCCCCCTCCCCCTTCCCCACCCACTCCTGGCCTTCAGCGGAATAACGGTGCAGGAACCCAAAAAGCAGGAGGCAGGGCGCCCGTGGGCTCGCTGGTTGCCTTCCCACGGGCACGCTGGGCTAGGACAACAGCAGGGCACCTCCGCGGATCTCGAGGGGGGGGGGAGACGGAGGGGCGGAGTGGGGGGGTTATGGGGGGGGAGAGAGAGGAAGGGAGGTGGGGGGAGGGACAGAGGTGGGAGGGGAGTGGGGAGGGTGGGCGGCGGGTGGTGCTGTGCAGCACGCAGTGAACTAGGGGAGCGCCACCTGCAGGATCCCACCAACACTGCCTTCCTCAAGGCGGGCTCCCCCTGCCTTCTTCAAGGTGCGCTCCCCACCTGCCCCTATCATCCAACGACCAGCGCCCTGCAAAGCCATACCGGCCTGCCCTACCTGGGGCCAACCAGTCACCCGCCTCTCCGCCCTCCCCTCCGCACGACCACACCCACTCTTTGCCCTCGTGCCCTGCGTCTTCGCAGCCCCTACCCAGCCCCGCTCCTCTCCCCCGCCTCCTCTTCCACTGATGTGCACACTGATGTGCTCCACTGATGTGCTTACTCTCCGCCCTCACTTTCCCCACCTCCCGCCTGTCCCCAACCCCCCTTCTTCCCCCCCGTACGCTGCCACCACTTCTAGTGTTCGTCCACCCATCCCTACCTGGTCTACCTTCACATCGGTCACACTCCATCATTTTCCCCCTCTCACTCTCCTTCGCACTCACTCACCCTCTCGCTCTGCTTCTCCCAGCTGTACTTCCCAGCGCTTGCAAGGCCCAGCCCAGTGCACCTGCTCCTCATTCCGTTCTTCCTAAACTCAGACTCCCTCCCCCACTAGTTTTCACCCCCTTGTCCGTCTCTTTTTTCTCTCCCCACGCACCCTACCTCCCGCTCTCCCCCCCCCTCCCCCATCCCCTCACTCTGGTCACTGCACACGTGCACATGCGTGCATCCACATATCCCCACATGCGCGCGTCCTCTAGGACCATTCTGGAGTGCGGCGAGTGTCTGCGCGAGCTGCAGAGAGCAGGCCCCCACGAGGACGAAGACGTGGAGCTCAACCTGCTGCGCGTCAACTCCCAGTGGAGGTGGTGGGGGGGAGGGGGGGGAGGGGGGGGCTGGTGGGTGGGAGGGGGGGGGGTGGGGGGATGGTCGGGGGGAACGGGGGGGAGTATGGGGCAAAGGGGAGGAGGAGAGGTTTGGAGAGAGGGGATCGGGGAGAGGTACGAGTTTGGGGAGGAGATTGGGCGGGCTGAGGGATACTTGGGGGTGTCAGTACATGTGTTTGGTATGAGGCTACGTTATCTTGCAGCATTGGCAGTTACTATACCATGTGCAAGCAAGACACCTGTCCCATCCCCCTCACCTGTCTCGCGCATCCCTTGCCCCACCACTCCCTCCATGACTCCCCAACCCATTCCAGCCACCCCCAGAGCCCAAGTGCGTGGCGTTCTCAGGCCAAGAACGCACAGTGGGGGATGCTGCTGCCTCGCCTCCGATTCACAGCCACCGCCGCATGCCCCTGCTGCTGCCCCTGCTGCAGCGCAGCCAACCCACAGGCCCATGCTGGAGGTGACATGCATGCTGCCCTCCCTCCCTGCCCCCTCCGTCCCCTTCTCACCCTCCGTCCTTCCGCCTTCCTCTCTTCCACACTCTCTGCTTGACTACACATGCCCTCGCCCCCCTCCCCCCCCCCCCCCCCCCCCCACCCCCCCACCCTCTCCCCCTGCCACACGGCTGGATGGACGCTTCAACCATTCATTCTTAAACACGCACACCGTCGCCCACATCCCATGCCATGCTCACTCTTGCCCCACCCGCCACCGTCATCAACGCCGCTCGGCTGGTAAACAGTGTCAGGCAGCGGTGGTACTCGCTTCGCTGCAGACATGGGGTTCTTCCCGCCCAAGCAGCTAGGGGATGAGAGAGATTGAGGCGATAGCGGCTGGGCTACTGAATTCTGTAATTCCGCAGCGGTGATGTTGGGTGGGAGTGGAGAGGAGAGGTACCGCTACTAATGTGAGGGGAACTAACTGAGTGTTTAAGAATGGAGGGGGGTTGGGTTGGGAGGTGGGGAGAAATGGTCAGCTGGCTGGGGTTTGGCAGGGGGTGGAGCAGGATTGAGCATTGTGTTTGTCAGCACAATGAATGGAGGCACGTTGCTGTGTAGCGAATGTGTGTGCTGACTGTCTGGTACTACGGTAGTGCGGTAAGTGAACAAGAGGTGACTGATGAAAGGCATGTTGTGATGGGAAAGTCACCTGGCCATGAGATTGATAACATGCAGCACAAGACTGTGAAATTATCATATCCAATTCATACCAGTACACGGCTACGTACAGGTACTGTACCCTACATTAGTCTCCAGGATACCTAAATACTAGTAAAGCGCACTCCCACTACCTCTCTACCAAAGCACTCGTAAATCCCTGTGCGCTCATCCTAGATCAAAAGTTGTGCACCAGGGGTTCGGTCCAAGGTAATGTACGTGTGACCACAACAAAGAGCACCTGGGCTCTGGGCTGAGGTAACCTTGTAGCAGGCCTTTCAAAGGCAAGAGGAGCAGCTTGCATGGGCGGGCATCGCAAAGTTCCACACTTCCAGCAGTCAGTGCGCCCCATGTGCTTGCATCACTACCACTTCCACAACCCACTGCACTGCTTTCTTGCACCACCGCAAGGCTGAGATATGAAGTGCGCGTGTGCGTGCAGCTTGCAGTGCAGCGGTCAGTGCTGGAAGGCGGGTGTGGTGGTGTTGTCCCCTGGGTGGTACCATGTGGACATGCCACAAAACCGCACTGCCAGCGACACCCTGTACCCACCCGCTCCTGCTCCTGCCGCCGTTCCTGCTCCAACCGCCACTGCTCCCGCTGCTGCTGCAGGCGGGTGGAAGGCAGGGCCGGTGCAGGCAGCAGTGCGTAGAGGGTGCAGAGAGCAAGGCTTCAGCGCCCCAGCAGCAGGCTCACACACGGCGGCGAGAGCTGCACCTGGCGTTGGTGGCTTTCCTGCTGCTGCATGCACGGAGTCTAGGGTTGGCAGTGCAGTGGGTGGCGGTGGGGGCATGGCAGCAGCGCGGGCATGGGAGTGGGTGGCTGAGGGGGCGAGGGGCAGTGCGATGATGTCGATACTGTCAATGGCAATGCCTGCTGCCTGCATGCTCTCACACAGCTGCTCCACACCTGACACATGCGTTGCACACATATAGGGGAAGCAAGGGGAGGCACACACACACAGGCAGCACGGAAGGCACACACGGGGAGGCAGCACGGGAGGCACACACGGGGAGGCAGCACGGGAGGCACACACGGGGAGGCAGCACGGGAGGCACACACGGGAAGGCACAGATGGGAGGTGGGGTGCAGGATGCGAGACAGTTAAGATTCGGTTAGCAGGTGGCATAAAGAGCAGAGAGGTGGGTGAGAGGTAGCAGTGGGAGCATGGGTACATGGCGATGCGCTCCAAACATGCGCACACAGGTGCCACTCCATGCACATACACCGGTCAGCTCGTCTCCTTACCTTCCCAGTTCAGGCACTGTGACAAACACTCCTCCGCATCACTCTCCCCTACTCCCTCGCCTTCTCGCTCCCCCTCCCGCTGCACCTCCCGCGCTCCCTCCCGCGCTCCCTCCCGCTCCCCCTTCCCCTCGCCCTGCATGTGCGCAGCAGCGCCATGGGTGCCCCCATGGCGTGCAGCAGCACTGGCGCGCAGCTTAGGCGTGGAGAAGGGGGACCCGCCTGCCGCGGAATCCACGCAAGCAGCAGCGCCTGTGCGGGCCGCCGCCGCCGCCACTGCCACAGCCTCACAGGAGCTGCTGGCCGCTGCTACTGCCCCGCGCCACTGCCCCACGTTGCGCGTGGTGGTGCTGGTGGCGCCGTCCCAGCTGCTGCGCCGGCCGTGCCCCGCTGCCTGCCGCATGCAGATGAGGCGACTGTGACGCGCGGGAGAGTGGTCTGGGAGATGAGGGGGGAGGGGGAGGGGGAAACGCGGGGCACCAGCGCGTTGGGGGGAAGGAGGGTGGAGGGGAGGGGATAACGAGGAACGGAGACATTTAAGAAGGACGTGAGGGTTGCGGAATACGCATTGGCGTTCATTGTTTGTGCGACACGCTGCGAAGTACGCTACTGGGCACCCGCTGCCGCTGCCACACCACGCGCTGCCCCGCGCCCGCGCCAAAGCCGCGCGGCCTGCTCACCTCGTGCCGTGTGCCCGCCCACCCCCACACTGCCTCCTCGATGCAGCGGGTTCCACCGCGGATGCCCCGCCAGCGCCGCCGGGCCTGCAGCGATCGCTCCACCACTCGCACTGCTGGCGACGGCAGCTGCAGCAGCGGCAAGACTGGCATCGCCCGCGGCGGTACGAGTACCACCAGCACTACCAGCAGTACTGCCCGCCGCGAGCCCGCCGCTGTCGCTGACGCCGCAGGTGACGCTGCTGCGCCCCAGATCGGGGACGGCGGAGTGCCGCCGCCTGTGGCCCCTGCTGCCGCTGCTCGCGAACGCGCCGCCGCCGCCGCTGCTGCTTGCGGGGAAGATTGGGCTCGCTGCGTCATGCGCGTCGGAAGGGGGGATGACGTCGTCGACACTGCTCGACCGTCCCAACGGCCAGTTGGGCTTCAACAGCGATGTCGCGCCCGCGCCGCCGCCGCCGTCTCCGGGACTGTCGTCGAGGCTGCAGCTTCGGGGCATTATGCGACGGCTTCTGACGCCGCCGCCGCGCGACACGGCGACGTGGGCGACGTGGGCGGGGGGTGAGGCGCCCATGGCGTTCGGCGGCCCGCGGAGAAGCGATTCATGCACGCGCGGCGGCGCCCGCCAGAGCACAGGGGGGATGGGACACACCTCGGACATCACCAGTGCTGCTCCGCCGCTGCCGTCCGCCGCCGAAGCCCCTGCCGCCGCCACCGCCGCCGCTGCAGTAATAGTGGCGGAGCGCCCCGCCGCGGCGTCCTTCCAATTGAGCGACGGGATCGGGCAGATGGACTCGTCGCGCCACAAGTCGGCGCCTTTGGCGGCGGCGATACGGGCGGCTCTAGGCACCGAGGAAAACGCGGGGTGGTGCGCGCGGGTGACGTTGCCCGACATCGTGACTTCAGACTCCCACGACCCGCCGCTGCCCCCGCCCCCGGGCAACGCTGCGACGGATTCCTGCGACGCGGGCGCGGCGCCGCGCGAGGGAACGCACGCGGTCATATCGGCAGGTGGACCTTTCGGATGCCGATTGTGTCGTGCGAGCGAAGTGCACACGTTTGGGATGGTGCGCGCGACAAATGGCTTGAGGAATTATAGTAGTCGCCGGAGCAGGGCAGCAGGGAGACGTTGTGCAGATCGGGATGGTGAGCTGACGGGTAATAGTGCACTGCTCGTAAAGCGGCGTGGCGTGGCTGCGTGAAAGCGAAAAAGGAAAGGATCATCCGAACACAGGATCATTCGAAGCGGCTGCGTGGCGTTTGTAGTAACAACTCCAATAGGACCCGAGCCGATCGGCGCTCATCCGGCCAGAAATGGGGAAGAGCGGCGACACGCGGTGGAGGATATGAGGAAAGAGCTGACATGGCGGGGGAGGACAGTTTCCGGAAGCCTATGTTTTTAGATCCAGATCCGAGCAGCGAATAGAGCAACAGCTGCTGCTGTGCTGTGAAATGCGCCCCGCGGAGGGGACAAGAGAGGTGGTGGCGAGGTTAGTGGGCGCCAGCACGACAGATGCTGCTGCTGCCATTTCGTAGTGGCATGTGCGTTCTTCAGTGTTTTCTTTACGAGTCGTTACAGCTATGGCAGGTGGAGTTGAGGAGCGGCAACGGTTTGGGCGAAGATGAGCAAAAAGAAGAGGATAGGAGAGGAAGAGGCTGTGGTGTAGGAGGCACAGGCGGAGCAGAGCAGGGGGGAGTTCGTGGTGGAGCCAGTTGGGGGCTGCCATGGCGAGTGCGATGTAATTCGGAACTGGGATCTGGCTTGCGGCGCCAGCAGCGAAGAAGGATTCGATATCCCAGCGCCTTGGCGCAGCGGCTAGCCGACGGAGAGGGTCGGTGGGATGGGGAAATCGCGCACATGGGGGGGGGGGGGGGGGGGGGGGGGGGTGGACCAGAAGGGAGCACTTGCGGACAAGGGCTGACGCGAGGAATGGAGATGGGTGGGTGGAGGGAGGGCGACTCTAGGGTGGACACGTGGCTGATTGTACACATGAGCACATGTGACAGGACTTTGGTTGAAGGCTGTACAGCTGATGCTCAGGGAATGCACGTGAATCTGCCTCGTACGTTTAAGAAAGCCTGCACGCGTGTATTTGGGCAAGCCAGTTTGCACCCAGTTAACAAGCCCCTCGAGCAAGTTGCAGTGATTACGAACCAATGGTAACAAATACTGACCGACGTCAACTGCCAATGCAATGATATGAACCAATGGAAACGAAAAGACCAACGTCAACTATCAACATGTAATTTTTGAGAATTTTATAAGCCATTTTTTGGGTTGCGTAGCAACCCTTTATATTTGGTTCGACATTTTGGGGATATCACTCGAAGAGTGAAATTTACCACTTTTTGGAGCACCCATTTGCATGTCTTGAATCTGTGTTCAAACGGATGCCTCAAATATTGGATATAAACACTCTTGAATGAGATCTCCATATGTAGAACCAAATACTGGAACCACGTATCATGTTGAAACCATGAACTTGCTCGACCGTCCCAACCTCGATAAATACGGCGGATCGTACGGCCGAGCATAATATTCTGACATCAACACAATTGTACAAATGAACAACAAGGTATGAGGTGGAGTGGATGCTTCAAAGTGAATGTTAAAATGCATCATGCAGCAACACAGGTTGATGGGCAGGCCCCTAGATTCGTTTTGAGGTAGTCTGACGCCTCAGAGTACACCCCTCTTCCTAGTCTGGCTGTCAGAGTTACCTATTTTTTTTAGTCTGAAAATTCAGACAAGCACAGCTTCTTTTGTCTGAACTGTCAGAGTTACTTCAAATTTTAAGATGTTCATGCAGTTTTATAACAGCATAGCTATAATAGCATTGAAGCTGATTACAGCATACCAACGCAATTGTGCGGCCAGAAATGGGGCACTCTGATTGGTCATTTGTCAAGAGTTAGGATCACTGAGCAGTTAGGGTCGAGGTGTGGGCATCAGACAATGGCCTCGTGCAAGTGCCAAGTGTGGCAAGCTCCCAATCAGCTGACCTGGCAGCAGGCTCGGTATCGCTCGGAACTTTTCTGTGCTGGGCGCGCTGGATGCAGCAAGAGTTTTCAACTGTGTACACCCTATGTGCGCGGAATATTCTCTCATAAAGTTACAGATTTGAAATTTTGACTCGGTTTGGGAAGGGGAAATGAAGTACGAGACTCATATGTGACACGGCTTTCGGTTGCACCAATTCGCTTTTCGCCATGTGCGATTCGCTAAAATCGTTTTGGCCATGTGCGATTGGCTATCTAGTTTTACAATTTAAGTGTTATTATGAGCCCCCAATGAATTCGACAGTCGAGATAGCGTCGACAAAGTAGTGTATCCTGGTACCCCTACTCTGTCAGAATATTATCTTATGTTCTAGCCTGTAGTGGGGTGCTCTATAGCGAGTACAACCCTTCTAGGGTTTGCTATTTGTATCCTCATTCTTGCTAGTTCAATCCTCTTTCTTTCTTCTAATTTTGTCATGCTATCAGAGCAGGTCGCCCTTGGATCGATCCTGTGGGTGGGTTACCACCTCGCTTCCGCTGCTACTTTTCCTTCCCGCCGTGCGCCCCGAGGCGCGCGGCGATTTTCTGCCCGCCGTGCGCCCCGAGGCGCGCGGCGGTTTTCTGCCCGCCGTGCGCCCCGAGGCGCGCGGCGGTTCTCTGCCCGCTGTGCGCCCCGAGGCGCGCGGCGGGCGTCTGCCCCGTCGTTCGTCGCGTCGCCTTCTGGAGGCGCCGCGACGGGCGACGGGGACCCGTCGCGGCCCCGCTGCCCGACCCGTCGCGGCCGCCCGCCGCCCTACCTTCGCGGCCCACCCGCCGCCCTACCTTCGCGGCCACCCGCCGCCCTACCTTCGCGGCCCACAAGCCGCCCTACCTGCGGCCACTCGCCGCCCTACCTGCGGCCCACCAGCCGCCCTACCTGCGGCCCTACCGCCGCACTACATGCGGCCCGTCGCCCTACCCGTCGCGGCCCCGGCCCCGTCCCCGCCTTCCCCCCCCCCCCTTTTCCCGTCGCCTGTCGAGGCGACCTGAGGGGGCCGCTTGCGGTGGGGTGTCGGGTATGGGGGTGGCCGGTGTGCCTTCCTCCCTTTGCTCCTCCTCCTCCTTCGTCTCCCACTACTGCAGCTGTCGCTGAGGGGGGTGGTTGTGTGGGAGACTGGGGTTTAGGGTTTAAGGGGGGTGCGTGGGAGTGGAGCTAGCGGTGTAGCAGCGGGTGCGTGTCGGGGGGGTGGGACTGTTTGGGGAAGCTGCATGGAGGTTGCCGTACTGTTGTCCGCAGCACCTGTAGTCCGGGGCGCTGTCCCGGTAGCCCAGTGAGCTAGACTTCTACGCCAGCCGCCCGTGGGTCCGTTGCTCGTCTGCCGCTACTTTAGCCGCGGGGCCTGTTACTCCTGTAGTCCGGGCGCTTAGTCCGGTAGCCGCTGTGCCAGTCTGCCTCCTGTTGCCCGTGTGTCTGCAGCTTCAGCCGTCGCCTCCTATCTCCTCTCCCCTCACTCTCTCTCCTCCTCCTCACTTGCCCGTTGTGACTACCACTAGCTTTGCTCATAATTGTGAACTCTAAACTATTTCTTCTTGAACTTGTGCTCAGATTGTGTGGTGACATTGTGATCCACCCTGAGCTTGTACTGCTTTGCCTGCTCTGCTGATTACACCCCACTTTGGCTATGGGGGTGTGTCAGAATATTGTCTTATGTTCTAGCCTGTAGTGGGGTGCTCTATAGCGAGTACAACCCTTCTAGGGTTTGCTATTTGTATCCTCATTCTTGCTAGTTCAATCCTCTTTCTTTCTTCTAATTTTGTCATACTCGAGCAGTTTTATCCGGAGGAAATCGTTAGTGCTGGCCCGTACACACGTGGGTGTATCGAAAAAAAGTTTCGAGGAAGTTTCGTTCCAATAACCTTTCATTCAGTCGGCGGAAACCCCTGTATAACCGGTTTCAGAGTGGACCCCCGATACAAGTTTGAGGCTCAGCCTACACTACTATGACTACTCTGAAATTTCAGACAAGTCAGTTAAAAAAACTCTGAAAAATCAGACAGGGTGCATAAAAAAATTTCTTTGAGTTCAGTCTAGGTACAAAAAAAAAGTCTGAACGGACTCTGAATCAGACTCCAAAGTCTGATATCTAGGGCCCTGTTGATGGGTCATTGAAACAGCGAAAACCCGCTGCCCCAAAGATGATTAACAACCTTTTGCATACATGACACACAATAACATCACACTTTGAAACACACATCCCACAAACACAAATGCAAACGTACGTAAAAAATGTACAACACCACGTAACGGTTGTGAACGCATCGAAATGCAACCCCACTGTGAAACAAACACAATGAACAGATATGAACACACACGCAAACAAGCACAGAGAGATACAGATACCGTAATAAACACACAACCGTCATTAATAAATTTCAGAAATGCATAAATGCTTGCTAACCTATCCCACCTTATCCTCCCTACAACCCTCCCTCCCTCCTTCCCTCATCTCCATCCCACTCCCTCATCTCCCTTCTCACCTCACGCACGCGCCCTGCACAAAGCAAAATCAGAGAAGTCAACATACATACGCCCAGGCAAAAACAAGGAAGTCAACACACACACGCCCTGCACAAAGTTAACAGGGAAGACAACACACACACGCCCTGCACAAGAAAGCAAGAACAAAGAAAGTAAAACACACCTTGCACAAAAATCAGTGCATGTTCATACACTGTGTACAAGAAAGAAAATATAGGATACCGCAACACACGTGCTCTTACAGAAGGCCAAGCAAGAAATACAAATCACCCTCCCTCACATGCATTGCACAAGGCGTCAACGCATAGCAGAAAGGCGCCAGTGCACTGCAGTGTACGAGTGCGCTGCGAGGCGCCGATGAGCTCCAGAAAGACGCCAGCGCGCGGCAACGCACCCGTCTGCCTTAAGCAGTAAGCGTCACTCATTTGCATAAGAAGCCCCAACTGTCCAAGCACCAGCAGAATAGATGCTAGAGCTTACGTCCTAGCGTGCTCATGCGCTCTCTCACGCCCTCTCTCATGCGCTCTCTCACGCGATCCCTCACGCGCTCCCTCACGCGCTCTCTCAGTCGCACTCTCACTCGCACTCTAACGCGCACTCTCATGCGCTCTCTCGCGCGCTCTCTGGCACGCTCTCTCGCGCGCTCTTTGGCACACTCTCTCACGCGCACCCTCACTCGCTCTCTCGCGCTCTCTCATGAGCTCTCTCACACGTGCTCTCACGCGCTCTATCAAGGTGCACTCTCAGGGGCACTCTCAGGCGCTCTCTCTCGCGCTCTTTTTCTCGCACGCTCACGCGCATTTTCTCTCTCACGTCCTTGATCTCGCGCACTCTTACGCACATTCCCTCTCTCAAACGCTCTCTCACGCGCACCCTCACACGCTCCCTCACACGCTCTCTCACTCACTCTCACACGCGCTCTCTCACGCGCTCTCTCACGCTCTCTCACCCGCTCTCTCATGCGCACTCTCACGCGCTCTCTCACGCTCTCTCACGCGCTCTCTCACGCTCTCTCACGCGCTCCCTCGCGCACTCTCAGGCACACTCTCACGCACTCTCTCTTTCGCTCTCTCTCGCGCACTCTCACCACATTCTCTCTCTCTCACGCGCTCTCTCTCGCGGACTATCACACGCATTCTCTCTCTTGCGCTCTCACGCACACTTGGACGCGCCCTCTCACTCGCTCTCTCATGCGCTCTCTCATGCGCTCCCTCACGCGCTCTCTCACGCGCTCTCTCATGCGCACTCTCACGCACACTTCCACGCACTCTCTCATATGCTCTCTCACGCACTCTTATGCGCTCTCTCACGCGCTCCCTCACGCACTCTCACGCGCCCTCTTGCGCTCTCTCACGCGCTCTCTCACGCACTCTCTCACGCGCTCTCTCAAAGCGCACTCTCAGGCACACTCTCACGCACTCTCTCTCGCGCTCTCTCTCGCGCACTCTCACCACATTGTCTCTCTCACGCGCTCTCTCGCGCACTATCACACGCATTTCTCTCTCACGCTCTCACGTTCTCACGCGCACTCACACGCGCTCTCTCATGCGCTCTCTCACGCGCTCCCTCACGTGCTCTCATGTGCTCTCTCACGCGCTCTCTCAGCGCTCTCTCACGCGCACCCTCACGCGCACCCTCACGCGCTCTCTCACGTGCTCTCTGATGCGCTCTCTCACGTGCTTCCTCACGCGCTCTCTCACGCTCTCCCTCACGCGCTATCTCACGCGCTCTCTCAGCGCTCTCTCACGCGCACCCTCGCGCACACCCTCACGCGCACCCTCACGCGCACCCTCACGCGCTCTCTCACGTGCTCTCTGATGCGCTCTCTCACGTGCTTCCTCACGCGCTCTCTCACGCGCTCCCTCACGCGCTCCCTCACGCGCTCTCTCACGCGCTCTCTCACGCGCTCTCTCACACGCTGCCTCACCCGCTCCTTCACGCGCTCTCTCACACGCTCTCTCATGCGCACACGCTCTCCCTCGTGCTCCATCTCTTTCTTCTTCAAATGAAAGTGCAATGCAAGAGGAGACCAATGTCAGAATATATGTGCTGTCTAGCCTGCAGTGGGGTACTCTGTAATGAGTACAACCCAATTTGGGGCTTTGTACTTGTATCCCAACTCTTGCTAGTGAAACCACTTCCCTTCCAATTTCTCGATACTCTCCCCTAGGAGAAACCTACTCGAACTCACCTTGCCTACCTCCTAGTGTGGGCCTAGGCTACTAAGCCTAGGCCCCACCTTCTACTATTTTGACATGGTATCAGAGCCCGTTCTACCTTGGCCTGTGGGCCCCTATACTTCCGCTGCAGTCCTTCTTCCTGCCGCGCGCGGAGCGCGCGGCGAAATTTTTTTTAGGGTTTCGGAGTTTTTCATCCCGCCGTGCGCTCGGGGCGCGCGGCGGTTTTCCCGTCCGTCGAAGCGCCCTCGGGGGGCCTGCGCGCTGCCCTCCCCGCTGCTCGTCGTGACGCCCGTGCGGGACCCGCACGGCGTCACCCTGCTCGACGCGACGTCCGTGCGGGACCCGCGGGGCGTCGCCCCTGCTCGTCGCGACGTCCGTGCGGGACCCGCGGGGCGTCGCCCCTGCTCGTCGCGACGCCCCATGCGGGACCCGCGGGGCGCTGTCAGTTCCTGCAGCAGCAGCCGCCGCCGCCCTGCAGCAGCAGCCGCCGCCAGGCCTCCAGCAGCAGCCGCCGCCAGGGTCTGCAGCAGCAGCCGCCGCCAGAGCCTGCTGCAGCAGCCGCCGCCAGGGTCTTCAGCAGCGGCCGCCGCCAGGGTCTGCAGCAGCAGGCGCCGTCAGATCCTGCAGCAGCAGCCGCCGCCGGCCTGCAGCAGCAGACGCCTCCGCCCTGCAGCAGCAGCCGCCGCCAGGCCTGCAGCAACAGACGCCGCCGCCCTGCAGCAGCATCCGCCGCCAGGCCTCCAGCAGCAGCCGCCAGGCCTGCAGCAGCAGCCGCCGCCAGAGCCTGCAGCAGCAGCCGCCGCCAGAGCTAGCAGCAACCGCCGCCAGAGCCTGCAGCAGCAGCCGCCGCCAGAGTCTGCCGCAGCAGCCGCCGCCAGAGCCTGCAACAGCAGCCGCCGCCAGCGCCTGCAGCAGCTACCGCCCCTGGACCCGGTACGCTCTGTGCTGCCCTGCCTGTGCTGCCCTGTGCTGCCCGTGTCTGTGCTGCCCTGTGCTGCCCGTGCCCTTGCTGCCTGTCCCTGTGCTGCCTGTGCCTGTTGCTGCCTGTGCCTGTGCTGCCCGTGCCTGTTGCTGCCCGTGCCTGTGCTGCCCGTGCCTGCGCTGCCCGTGCCTGTGCTGCCCGTGCCTGTGCTGCCCGTGCCTGTGCTGCCCGTGCCTGTGCTGCCCGTGCCTGTGCTGCCCGTGCCTGTGCTGCCCGTGCCTGTGCTGCCCGTTGCCTGTGCTGCCCGTGCCTGCGCTGCCCGTGCCTGTGCTGCCCGTGCCTGTGCTGCCCGTGCCTGTGCTGCCCGTGCCTGTGCTGCCCGTGCCTGTGCTGCCCGTGCCTGTGCTGCCCGTGCCTGTTGCTGCCCGTGCCTGTGCTGCCTGTGCCTGTTGCTGCCTGTGCCTGTGCTGCCCGTGCCTGTGCTGCCCGTGCCTGTGCTGCCCGTGCCTGTTGCTGCCTGTGCCTGTGCTGCCTGTGCCTGTGCTGCCTGTGCCTGTGCTGCCCGTGCCTGTGCTGCCCGTGCCTGTGCTGCCCGTGCCTGTGCTGCCTGTGCCTGTTGCTGCCCGTGCCTGTGCTGCCCATGCCTGTGCTGCCCGTGCCTGTGCTGCCTGTGCCTGTTGCTGCCTGTGCCTGTGCTGCCCGTGCCTGTGCTGCCCGTGCCTGTGCTGCCCGTGCCTGTTGCTGCCTGTGCCTGTGCTGCCTGTGCCTGTGCTGCCCGTGCCTGTGCTGCCCGTGCCTGTGCTGCCCGTGCCTGTGCTGCCCGTGCCTGTTGCTGCCCGTGCCTGTGCTGCCCGTGCCTGTTGCTGCCTGTGCCTGTGCTGCCTGTGCTTGTTGCTGCCTGTGCCTGTGCTGCCCGTGCCTGTGCTGCCCGTGCCTGTGCTGCCCGTGCCTGTGCTGCCCGTGCCTGTGCTGCCCGTGCCTGTTGCTGCCCGTGCCTGTGCTGCCCGTGCCTGTGCTGCCCGTGCCTGTGCTGCCCGTGCCTGTGCTGCCCGTGCCTGTGCTGCCCGTGCCTGTGCTGCCCGTGCCTGTTGCTGCCCGTGCCTGTGCTGCCCGTGCCTGTGCTGCCCGTGCCTGTGCTCCCCGTGCCTGTGCTGCCCGTGCCTGTGCTGCCTGTGCCTGTTGCTGCCCGTGCCTGTGCTGCCCGTGCCTGTGCTGCCCGTGCCTGTGCTGCCTGTGCTGCCCGTGCCTGTGCTGCCCGTGCCTGTGCTGCCCGTGCCTGTTGCTGCCCGTGCCTCGTGCTCGCGCCCTCGTGCGCTCTGCTACTGTCTGCGCCCTCGTGCGCACTGTTCCCCCCCCCCCCCCCCCCCCCCGTTTGCGGGTGTGGGGGTGCTCCGTTTGTGTCGCCCCTTCCTTCTCCTCCTCCGTCGTCTCCCACTGCTGCAGCTGTCGCTGAGGGGGGTGGTTGTGTGGGAGATTGGGGTTTAGGGTTTAAGGGGGGTGCGTGGGAGTGGAGCTAGGGGTGTAGCAGCGGGTGTGTGTCAGGGGGGTGGGACTGTTTGTGGGAGGTTGAGCGGAGGCTGCCGTCTTGTAGTCCGCAGCACCTGTAGTCCGGGGCGCTGTCCTGGTAGCCCAGTGAGCCTGCTGCGCCTGTCGCCCGTGGGTCCGTTGCTCCTGCCGCTCTTCGTAGCCGCCGAGCCAGTTACTCCAGTAGTCCGGGGCGCTGTCCCGGTAGCCACTGTGCCAGCCGCTCCTGTTGCCCGTGTGTCTGCAGCTTCAGCAGTCGCCTCCCATCTCCTCTTCTCTCACTCTCCCTCCTCCTCCTCACTTGCCCATTGTGACCACCACTAGCTTTGCTAATAATTGTGCACTTTAACTATTGCTTCTTTAACTTGTGCTCAGAATGTGTGGTGACATTGTGATCCACCCTGAGCTTGTACTACTTTGCCTGCTCTGCTGATTACACCCCACTTTGGCTATGGGGGTGTGTCAGAATATATGTGCTGTCTAGCCTGCAGTGGGGTACTCTGTAATGAGTACAACCCAATTTGGGGCTTTGTACTTGTATCCCAACTCTTGCTAGTGAAACCACTTCCCTTCCAATTTCTCGATACTCTCCCCTAGGAGAAACCTACTCGAACTCACCTTGCCTACCTCCTAGTGTGGGCCTAGGCTACTAAGCCTAGGCCCCACCTTCTACTATTTTGACAACCAATTGACACATTGGAGAGAGAGAAAAAAAAAGGAGAGAGAGAGAGAGAAAAAAAAAAGATCAAAACAAAACAGGACGGAAATTTCAGAAAGGGGGAGGGAGGAGGGAAGGACCGGGAACGCACCCGATAACCACGGTGCCTGAGAATACAACCCGCGCTCGCGCACCAACCCGCGCTCGCGCACCAACCCGCGATCGCGCACCAACCCGCGATCGTGCACCAACCCGCGCTTGCGCTTGTGCACCTGTCGCCGGAGGCGACGGCGGAGAGGGAAGGAGAGGCGACGGCGGGGAGTGGGGAGAGGCGACCGCGGGGAGGAGCGAGAGGCGACGGCGGGGAGGAGGGAGAGGCGACGGCGGGGAGGAGGGAGAGGCGACGGCGGGGAGGTGGGAGAGGCGACGGCGGGGGGGAGGAGAGGCGACGGCGGGGAGGTAATGGAGAAGATACGGCGGGATGGGAGGGAGAGCGACAAGTGAGTGGGAGGTATTGGTGACAGCGGGGTGTAACTACAAAGGATAGCAAGATGGCAGGGAGTCGCGACGGGAGGATGAATCGGGTTGGAGAAGAAATTGGGCTATATGAGCTATTGCGGTACTGATACAGTGGAACAGCTTCGGGAATGCTTTATATAACCTTTCGGTTATTCCAACACTCCCCTCGGCGCAGCGTTGGTACTGCTGACGTGGCAGCTTCTTCGTCAAGAAATCAGCTGCCATGTCACCGGTCGGGCAGTACGTCAGCTTGACTTTCCCCTTGTCGATTTCATCCTTCACGAAGAAGTAGCGAAGGGCAATGTGCTTGGTGCGGTTGACGAAGCCAGGCTTGTTCGCGATCTTTATCGCGCTCTGATTGTCGCAGAGTAACGTGAAGTGCCCGTTCATCGTCACTTTCGCCTCTTGCAGGAGCTCCACCAGGTACAGTCTGTCAGTAGAGCTACACTGTGAGATCCCCGATCGATCCTAGGGGGGGTTACAGGCGCGTTTGCCTGGGGGGTTATGGGCGCACTGACCCGCTACTGAAACAAGCCCTTTTATCCCAATGGTCTAGTGGTTGGGATTCTGACATGGTATCAGAGCGGTCTCGGGTTCGAATCCCGGTGTATGCACATGTTGGCCGTTGCCACTGTGCTCAGTCCTGGGCCTCCCAGTGTGGGGGGGTGTCAGTAGAGCTACACTGTGAGATCCCCGATCGATCCTAGGGGGGGTTACAGGCGCGTTTGCCTGGGGGGTTATGGGCGCACTGACCCGCTACTGAAACAAGCCCTTTTATCCCAATGGTCTAGTGGTTGGGATTCTGACACAGTCCTTCGCGAACAGCTGCGCTAGGTGCGATGAATTCTGCTTCTGCTGACGAGAGAGCGATAAGTTTCTGCTTTTGAGAGTTCCAGGAGATGAGTCCAGCAGGTTGGAGTTGAAAAATGAATCCTGTGTGGGAGCGTCTGTTGTCAACATCTCCAGCGTGGTCGGCATCTACGTAGCCATGGAGCTGTAGAGTGGCGGTGAGGTTAGCTTCATAGGTGAGACCGACGTCGGGAGTGGAGATGAAGTACTGTAGTGCTCGGCGTAGATCCAGTAGATTCTCCCCTTCAGGTTGCTTCAGGTACCGTGCGAGCTGGCTTGCGACGTAGGAGAGATCGGGCAGGCATGTGACGGCGGCGAACAGTAGACATCCCAGGTGCTGCTGATAGAGACGATGGTTGTCGGGAGAGAGCGGTGTGGTGTCTGGCTCGTGGTTAGGAGGAGGAGTGCGATAGGGGTTAGTGAGGTTGATTGGTGCGATGGAGAAGCGCTTCGCGAGTGTTTCGGCGTACTTGGCGGCAGAGAGGTGAATGGAGGAGGCGGACTGAGTCACATTGAGGCCGAGAAACTGAGTGACATTGTGATTGATTGTCACTTCCAGTTTCTCTTTGATGTCGGCCTCAAACTGGTCCAGCAGCTCCGTGTCGTCGCCGGTGTAGAGGAGGTCGTCGACGTAGGCGACGAGGAGTAGGAATTTCCCGCGCGATTCTCGCCGGTACATTCCGAGGTCGTGCGGCAGTTGAGTGAAGCCGAGCTCAAGGAGGACGGAATGGAGGTACTCCTGCCAAAGACGAGGCGCCTGCTTGATTCCGTTGAGGGATTTTTGGAGGAGGCACACGGCGCCATAATTTTCTTCGAATGCGTGCGGCTGCTCAACAAAAATGATGGCATCGACGAGAGCGTAGAGGAAGGCGCTGCCGACGTCGATTTGCCGGAGCGGTCGCTGTTTGACGGCGGCGATGTAGATGAGAATGCGTACCGAGGTGTGGCAGCCGATTGGAGCTTAGGTGAGAGTGAAATCCACCAGGTGTGTTTGCTCAAATCCCCGCACCACCCAACGCGCCTTGTACTTGTCGACCGAGCCATCTGCGAGAGTTTTGATACGAAAAACCCATTTGCCGCTGAGAATTTTTCTCCCCTTTGACGATGACTGAGGGACCAACTTCCAGGTGCCACGATTCTTCAGCGATGCGATTTCGGCGGCCATGGCTGCTTTCCATTTTACACTGTCGGGGCCAGATAGGGCTTGGCGGACGGTGGTTGGTTCCTTGGGCGAAGTGTAGCGAACAGCGACGGCGAGGCCGAGAACGCGGGGACCGGTTTCGTCAGTCTTTTCGTAGTGAAGTCGGTCATAGTCGTGGAAGCTGGTAACTTCGACCACGTCGTCATCACTGTTGTTGCCGAGGCGGAGGGTATCCTGCGACATGTTGGGTTGTGGTAACTCGGCATCAGGTGATCGGCGCGCCTCACCGTTTTAGTCATGAGCCGCGCGAGTTGTATCGTTAGGATCGGGTTGGTGTAGAGGTACGAATATCGGAGTCCCGAATTGGCTTGTGAGGGGGATGCTCGGAGCGGAGTCCATTGGGGTGACATCAGATGCGTTTGCATCCTCGGCCAGGTTAGCTTCGTCGTGTGACGTGGCGAAGCTGCGGTGGCCCTCGAAGAGCCTCTCGGGAAGTTTGTCGGCTTCCTGGTGCTCCTTAAAAAGGGGCAGAGTCAGCTTCTCCTAGAAGATGCAGTCACGTGATTTCGTCACCTCGTGTGTCGCGTAGTACAGCACGATCCACGCCTTGAATTCCTTCTCCATCCCGAGGTGGATGCCCCATCGTGCCCGGTCAGCAAATTTTCCGGTTCTCGCAGTGTGGGGTCTGTACTGTACCATGCAGCCAAACACCCGAAGCAGGCGTGTATCTGCTTTTCTGCCCGTCCATGCCCGGTAGGGAGAGTTGTTGTTCTCGAGGCTTCACGAGGACAGCAAGTTGTGTAGCCGAACAGCGTGATTCATCGTAAACGGCCAATATTTTGTTGGGATGGCCGACTGCTTCATCAGGGCCCTCATCCGCGTGGCGAGGCTTCTGTTTGTCCGTTCTGCTACTCCTTGCTGTTGGTGAGCATAGGGCAGGGACACAAGGTGCTCAATCCCCTTCTGCTTGAGGAGCTCCTTGAACTCGTCTGAGAAGAACTCCAGGGCTCCGTCCGTCTGCTAGGTTTTGAGTTTGAGACCGGACTCTCAGAATCCCAACCACTAGACCATTGGGATAAAAGGGCTTGTTTCAGTAGCGGGTCAGTGCGCCCATAACCCCCCAGGCAAATGTGCCTGTAACCCTTCCCTAGGATCGATCGGGGATCACCAGTGGACCTCTGACACCCCCCCGCACTGGGATGCCCGAAGTGCATACACCGGGATTCGAACCCGAGACCTTCGCTCTGATACCATCTCAGAATCCCAACCACTAGACCATTGGGATAAAAGGGCTTGTTTCAGTAGCGGGTCAGTGCGCCCATAACCCCCCAGGCAAATGTGCCTGTAACCCTTCCCTAGGATCGATCGGGGATCACCAGTGGACCTCTGACACGGACTGACGCTCAGCCCGCTTCATCCACGCAATGAAGCACTCGAAGGCCAGAGACCTGCTGTCGGTGTTGACGGCCCAGACGTAGCGATTAGATGCGTCGATGAAGGTAAGTGTGTACTGCTCCCCGTCGAGCCCCTCCTGGCTGAGCCCCATGAAGTCGCTGTAAACTTTGTCCAGCGGCTTGTAGCGTTCATACACTAGGGGCAAGTCGGGGAACGGCTGGTGATTGAGCGACGCAGTTGGGCAGACGATGCATGGAGGGTTAGGTGAGTCCACGGTAAGCGAACCGTTTTGAGGGAGGAGGAGCGCGTCGTTGTCGAAGACTCATGCTTTGAGCGAGTTTTTGAGCGTGGCGTGGGAGGGATGGCCGAGCCGTTGGTGCCATGTTTCTGGGTCCGCACGGTAACCGACTGTCTTTTGATAATATTTTTGTCGCGCAGTTTCGTCGTTTGCCTCCCCTTCAGGTCCTACGTCGGTGGCAGAGTCGATGTCGGCGACGAGCGCGCGAATTGCTTTTCGCTCTAGAAGCATGCGGGGAATACCGATGATGTCGTCGGTGTCGCCGGCATCGACTTGGACTCCGGTAACGAGCAGGCATTGGTTGGGCCGTTCCCGAACTGGGAGTCCCTTCACGGGGATTCTGAAGTAACTGTATTCAGCGCTGATGACCTCAATTTCTTGTGGTCCTTGTACTGGCGGCTCCGGCTCCTCGGTAGGTTTGGGTAACTCTGTTGGTTCTCCCACGAATTCGTAGGCTTCTTCTTCTTGTGACGCTTTTTCCATTTGCTCGGGTGTGTCAGGGGCGTATTGATTCGGGAGAGGTGGACCTCCCCAGCAGGTGCCGCAAGTTGCCCAGTATGGGTCGACGTTGGCAACTTCCGCAGGAGGAAAACCAGCTGCTTCCGCGTGCCTTTGTTCTGCTTCGGCCGTGGTGTCCCATCCTCCTCTGGCGCCCCATGTGTCTTCAGCGGTCTCTGCTTTATCTGCTCCTCCTGCTGTTGCGCCAACTTCCTCTGCTGGAACTGCGCCCCTCCAACTTGCGGCTGCTTCTTCTGGAGTTAGTACTTCTCCCCAGGGTCCGAGCGCGGGCTCGGAAGTGTTCCAGCCCGACCAGTGTGTCTCCGCTGTCTTGTTTTCCTCGGTTGGTTGAGTTGCAGGTCCTAATGTGCCGCTGTCTTCTCCCATTGTGGCAGGTCCGGTTTCTGCAGGGTTGGAGGTCGAGGCACTCGGGACAGTGCGCAAGCGTAGAAGGCCGTCGGAGGCTGGTCGCTCGAGGTCCATCTCGTTGGGATGTGACCATGTTGGTGGCTCCGTGGGAGTTGTTTTCAATAGCAGTGTGCGGTCGGAGTCGCCGGTGGTGCCCTGAGCCGAAAATTGCAGCACGAAGACTCCATCATCAGCGATCGTCTTTCCGATGTAAGTTTCGTTGTGGAAGAGCTCGAAGGTCTTTTCCTTCCGATTGCTGCGAATGTCGATTCCGCATCGCATGAGTTGAGCTGATGAGAGTAAGTTGTATTGTAGATCAGAGGTGACGAGAACGTCCCCGATGTGAATGGTGAACTTCGTGTCATTGGCCTCGAGGTAGATTTCGCCAATCTCATA